CACAGTTTCTAAAACTGATTCAGCGTTTGAATGTAATTTTTGCAAACGATGGGTGCACTGCCGTTGTGACAAAGAAGTACCGAAAGCATACTATGAGTTTATGAGAAATAACCCATGCCCATGGTTTTGGTACGTGTGTCCACTTTGTCGCCCTGGCATAGTCCCACAAAGCGTGTCTGCGGATAGCAGAAATAACATGCTCTTGTGCCCCAACACAGTATCATGCAGCTCCCCCCTGCTAAACTCGCACTGCCGAAACTGGTCAAAGACTTAAAGAAGGACACACCAGCCCTACTGACTGGAAATGCCAATTCTCACAAGGTGAAGATTAGCAAGGTTCCATCCACAACAGGGGAGGGCAAAATTACAAAGGCACCACTTGCATCCACTAGCAAGCCTGGCAACACAAAAAAGGCTGTCCAGGTACCGACGAAGCCTAATGTTGCTAATGATGCAAAGGACTGCAAGAAGCCGAAGGCAAAACCTAAGTCTGAGGGTAGTCGGTCTAACTCTCTCATCCTCTTTAACGTACCTGTGAGCACGGATAGCTTGCTCGAACAACGGGCCCTGTTTGATCAGGAACAGTGGTCCAACCTGTGTGGCAAACTAGGTCTGAACATTAGTTCAGCAAAACTGTGCAGACTGTACAGGGGTGTCCACACGCCTCAGGGTAAGCCACCCCCATTACGGGTTACACTGGACTCTGCCGAAGAGGCCGAAAAAGTACTGTTAATGGCTCAGGTACTAGCCCTGGACAGAAGTTCTAACATAAGAGCGCGGCAAGATAGACCATGGGCCGTCAGAAATATGGCGAGGGAGTCACCGGAACTGATGCCTTCCACCTCTATGGTGGTACACGGTGTTCCGGAGCTGGAAACCGGCACTGCTTGTGAAAAACACATGCACGACGTACAACAATGGAGATGGCTGTCATCTCAGATGGCCCCTGGCGCTTCTGGAGCCATCTCCATTTTCCGACTACCTCGTCCCGCTCATCTAACATTGATTAACTCTCCAAAGCTGCTGTGTGTCACATTCAACTCCCCGGAGCAGTTGTCCATATCACTTCAACGGTGGTATGAGACCAAGGGAAAAATTGGAGGACACATCCGATGCTGTGAAAGCAGACCCAGAAATATAAGGAGGCAGCAAACTGAGGCTTTAATACGACCCCAAGCTTCGGTGACACTAGAGCGATGCAGCTCTGAGAATAATAGTCTGTGTCTCCCAAGTGTCCTGCCTAAATCCATTGAAAAAAACTACAACGGGCCGGTTCTATCGGAATCGGCCAACTAGTTCCAACATCAAGTCCCCCACCAGCAGACGGTTTCACGTCAACTACCCCACAACACTCTGAGGTTGTTAGACTCACTGTCAGTTGCCTATATAGCAATGTGAGGGGGCTGAGAGGGAAAGTAGGTGAACTCCGAAATCTCCAAGCACACCTTCAACTGAAAATAATCATTCTTACTGAAACGTGGCTAAACCCCACTATCGCCGACAATGAAATCAGTATAGGTGATATGGTACTGGTCAGGAGAGACAGGGATAATAAGGAAGGAGGGGGAGTTGCTATATACTTTGATAGGCAACTTAAATGTGTGCGCGCAACGGACCCACCACTTATCGAACTCCCAGACTCCATATGGTGTCATTTCACCGTAGGCCACACCAAGCACTTACTGGGTGGCATCTACCGATCTCCCACCTGTGGGGCAGAGCACAATCAGCTACTGCTCAGCACTATCACAGGAATACGAGATTTGGGCTACGACCAAATCACCATAGCTGGAGATTTCAATGCTCCATCACTGAACCTTGGCTCCGGGTGTGCTAAGGGAAAATTTGGCCGAAACCTACTGCAAACTATTCGAAACACGGGACTGACTGAGAATGTTGGAGACGACACTAGGTGGGGCCCTAGTGGAAAGTCATCAAAACTAGATTATATTCTAACTAGTGACCAGCTACTCGTCGAAAAGGTCCAGATCATGACTCCTCTGGGAAGCAGTGACCATGCAGTCATAGGTTTCGATCTTGTCCTCCGTGAGCGTTTGCAATGGGATGTTACGCGACCATGTCTGTGCTACAGCAAGGCTGACTATGCTGAAATGCGGAGGCTCTTGTCCGACGCAGACTGGCCCTTAGCATGGGACGACCTATCTGTGGATGAACACTGGGAAGTGGTAAAAAAGATTATCCATGCAGCAATCTCGGATACCGTCCCTTTAGTCACAACACAGCCTAAGAGAAAGACGTCATGGTTGAAGAGAGGCACGCAACGTATTCTGCAAGCAAAGCGGAGGGCTTGGTTTACGTGGCGTGTATCTAAGAGTCAGACCGACCATGATGCATACCTCGAACTCAGGAACCGGTGTAATGCAAGAGTTAGGAGGGACAGAAGGTCATTCCAGGCTAACCTTGCTAAAAAACTCCTATCAAACCCTAAAAACTTGTACCGATTCATGTCGGAAAGAAAACCGACAAACCAAGGGGCATGCGCCTTAGTAGGCCCAAACGGTCAATATCTCACTAGTCTGGAGATGGCTGAAACATTCAGTTCAGCCTTCGCTAAACAGCTAAACAGCAATGTGGATATTACAGTTACGGACCAAAATGGTGGCACCACTATTTCAGAGGAGGAAGACCTAGCGACTACTCCCCAAATAAACCCCGCAATAGTACTAAGGAAGCTACAGCGACTCATACCTGGGAAGTCCCCAGGTTGTGATGACATCAGGCCATCTGTTCTGAAACAGTGCGCCGAGGCTCTCTGTAGACCCCTGTGCGACTTGTTCCAACACTCAATGGATTCGGGGACCCTGCCAAGGGAGTGGAAAAGAGCCATCCTTTCTCCAATCTTCAAGGGTGGGGACAGGCAAAACGCTGCTAGCTATAGACCAGTAGCTCTACTCCCAGTGGTATCAAAAGTACTGGAAAGTATTATTGACGACCACATCAGGGAATATTTCGATAGGACTAATATACTGCATGAAGCCCAACATGGTTTCAGAAAAGGCAGATCCTGCGTCACTAACCTACTGTCAGCTTGGGACGACTGGACATCATGCTGGGACTTGAACGTACCAGTCCATGTGGTCTTCCTAGACTTTGAGAAGGCATTTGACACTGTTCACCATGACCTTCTCCTACATAAAATAAGCCAGGCAGGCATAGGTGAGCCACTTCTGTCATGGTTGAAGGACTACCTAGCCGACAGGCAATTTTGCACTAAGGTTAACCGAGTCCGATCATCTTGGCACAGATCGTCATCAGGAGTGTCGCAGGGTTCTATCCTAGGACCACTGATGTTTTTGATTTTCATCAATGATCTACCACGCCGTCTGAGCTGCCCGACTCTCCTGTACGCTGACGACGTAAAAATATGGAGGGCGATAAAGTGTCCGGAGGACTCAGATAGGCTACAGGAAGACCTAAACCTTCTGGAAGACTGGGCGGTGGCCAGTGGCATGACTTTCAACTTGAAAAAGTGCAAAGTAGTGAAGTTGCGCACCTGTAGACTGCAGAATGCAAGTTACACCCTGTGCAATGAAAGCTTGTCCTGCACAACGTCGGAACGCGACTTAGGTCTAGTTCTAACGGAAAAAATGGACACAAGCGTAAATTACACAGGGGATGTAGCGAGGGCATATGCGGTCATACACTTTACGCATAGACAGTTAGGTGCACTCACTCCTGAGCTCTTTCTAATGTTGTACAAAACATACGTCAGGCCACACCTTGAGGTGCATAATATTATTGCACCCCCAATGCTGAGAAGAGATGCCAACCTCTTGGAAAGAGTCCAACGACGGGCAACAAAAGGAGTGGTTGGTCTCCGAAACAAACCATATGATGAAAGGCTGAAGAAATTAGGCCTGTTCACACTTAGTTACCGTCGGCTTAGGGGGGATTTGATTACTGCCTACAAAATAACAAATGACCAGAATCACCCAAACAAAGGTGTTCTGCCATTGAGTAGGTATAGGCTTCCACGTGGAAATCCCAGAAGGATAGCTCACCAGAGGGCAAGGACCCGGGTGCGCTCCCACTTCTTTTCACTGCGGGTTTGTCGTCCCTGGAATTCCTTACCGGCAGATGTAGCTATGGCACCGTCTTTGGACGCCTTTAAGCGAAGGCTGGACAACCATGCAGCGATACAAGGACTGCATCCAAATGGCCTATCTCCTTAAAATCGCATTTACCAATCAGGGTAGATAATTAAACTCGTCATTTTACTTCTTTACATTCTCTCCCGTCTTACTCTCCTGACAACTTATTAATATTATAATTACTATTAAAAAAAAAAAAATTACCGATATATATATTATTCTTCAAACTTCATGAGCTGACTGTTGTTACGTTTCCTATTTTCGTTTCTGTCTCTTAGTCTGAATAGCTTCACTAATTATATCTATTATTATTATTATTATTATTATTATTATTATTATTACTATCTCTTTTCTCTTGTCGACAATACCGAAGGACTAACTGGCGAAAGGATCAACTCCAATCACAGTAGTAACAGTCTTAACATACCTCATACTACAAACCACATATAATTAATCCCAGCACTACTCCCTTTGGAGTCAACCAAAGCTACGACAGTCGAGTGGCGGGACAAGCTACGCAGAAGTTTACCGAAGATCAAGAACCTATACCTCACAATCAAGAGGCGAGCACAAAGAAATCAAATTGGTTTATACTAGCTCGTAAAAACGATATTGGATATTGGATATTGGAGTACAAAAGAGCGCAGGACAAATTAGAAACTCGTTTTCGTTATAAATGCTCACTTGCAACTACAGAAAATGTAGACAGCTACTAGGAACCGATGCCATCGCCACCAGTTGTCAGCATATCTTCTGTGCAACACACAGTCCCCTTCATCTGAAAACCTCCGATGGCATGTTTCAATGTCCAGCCTGCAAATCGAGATTGCATGACAATACGGATATATATGAAGTGAGAATTCCTCTGCTACCTTCTAACTTGATCAGGTTAATTTGAAACCGTGTGAACAGTTTCGGGGCATGATTCTGATAGGACAAACTCCCGAAACAGTCCTAGACATATGTCGCAGAGCTATTGGATTCTACTCCACACAAACTGCTCAGGAAGTCAAATATTTAGAGTATGCCATTTACAAGCTCCAAGAAGAGTACAAAAGTACGGAGACTCAGTTCAAATCTGTGCTGAGCAACTACGGGCAGAAGGTGAAAAGCCTTCAAAATGAGAGGGATTCTGTAAGACATGTTTAGCATAATCTGTTTCTCTTTCAAGTTGCAGAAGGAGTGCGAAGAGCTGCGAGACAAGCTTGTTTCGTCAAGTCACAAACTCTCGAAGTTGGAAAGTGATTTGAATCAGTTGAATTTGTCTAGAAGATCAGAATCCACTCACACCTGCCACTCAGGTCATGGACTTCCTAGTTCCGGACATTCCAATATGTCACCAGATACTCAACATCGAAAGTTTCCTAGATGTTCACCTGACTCAACACGTCCAAGTCCATTTAGTGGGAACAGCCGGTGCTCTCAGATGTCTTTCTGCAGACGACAAGAACCCACCACATCCACCAACTGTTTTCTTGCCAACAGTTCACGTCAATCAACACCCAATCTAGTATTCCCTAATCACTTCCTCAATGGCGGAATACGAAACTTAACCAACAACCCCCGGAAACCGCTTTATAAATGAGAATGACTTTGGGAATGTTATGTTTTGATAAAGCTTTACAGTTTTTACTAAGAATAAATCAATGTCATTTAAATTTGTTGACTTTTCAAACACAACATTCCCGATGTGTTTGGTTTCAGGGGGAAGATATGAGGAAGTCTAGGAATGGTTTGTGACTTATGTTGACAGACGGAAACATGCTGGAGGAAATAAGTTTGCTTAAACTCTCTGATGATAGCAGACTGAACGATCCATACTCAAGATTGCGATTATCAAAATTGTCGATTGTGTCAAACTCTTCATGTGTCAATATGGTGTACAAAATCTTGGTGGATGATTTGAGAGTCAAAGTATTTCGAATTCGTCAGCAGAAACGCACAAACATTCCGAGAGAAATGGTAGTTGGTGGAATTTTCAACTGATTTCCATTCTAAGTATCACTTCAATTGAGACATGAATACAAAAGTTATTGTTGAAGGTGGTAATGCTGACAAAGGCTTCTCAGAGGAGAAGAAACTCGATGCACTTAATCTTGTTAAGAAAAGGCCTACAAGTAGTTTGACCTGTTGACTTGTGCATTCTCAATCGTTTCAAACACATCTATTCGATGTTTGTAAATATTAGTCAATTCTTGTGTTTTAACATTCCATTATACCTTTAGTAATCACCTTCTGCGTCATAGTTGTGTAGCATTCATGAGAAGTTTCTAGGGAAGCACGTGAATTAAATGATTCCCAATGAATAATCCGTCAACAAATACGTTGTTGGGGTAAAAAATTTCACAAAATTATTGGCCGACAGAATTCGTCACTCAGAGTCCGATTCTGTTTAGGTCGGCTGCTTCGGCTAAAGGAGTCCCCACCATTTGGCATGACAACCTGCTACATGCAGTCTTTTCTTCGCTCGTGCACAATCCCTAGCTATTCAAGCAACCATCCTCTCACTGTGATTTAGATGGCGAAATATGTTTCGTATTTTGGATGATCAATTAGGTGTTTCCATTTGACTGTGGCCCATGCAGAACAAATACTGGGGAATAGAACTCGCCTTAGTATACATCATACTTTCAGTAAACGTCAACAATCCCTAATCTCCTAGAAAGTGAAGGGATATCAAAACCACTACTCATCTTCTTTCATGAACAATATCCTACCTACTCACACCATTTACTTCATTGATTTCGTCCAAACTGTCTGAAGGCTTTCGGTCTCAAAAATAACCATTCGATTTTGAAATGATAGCTGGGTATCTTATAGAGCTCGTTTACTTGGCTCCTTCTAACCTCACTCAAAGCTGAATATTCTTTGCGCGTCAGCGTAATTCAGTCAGTATCAATTCTCTGGATTATCGTCTAAATTCCTGGATACCCTTATATTCAGACAAGAAAGAAGTATATATGTGTAGATCTCAGCCATACTGGAGTTAATAGTTTCAACGTTTCGTTTGGTAAACAGGAATGAATTTTTTCAGGTAAACAATAGAAATTATAACATCCGATTTTAATCGCTACCCAATGTTTGTAGAACTGATAGGTTAATGTCTTGATTAGAGTTCATTTGGCCGTTTAAATCTAGAATGCAGATGTTTTCATCCACACACCAATAATTCTACAGCTTAGACTAAACACATGATAATGACTTCTTAATGACTTGTATAAATTTGTAACATCACAACCTGCAAAGACATCGATTTGCGCGAAATGAATAATCTCTTCCGTAACTCCTTCAATAGACACCACACTTGGATGTTCGCAATAATACATGAAAAATTGTTATTATTTACAACATTTACGTTTTTGAGTAAAATCGAACCAGTAATACCAGTGGAGTGCAGCTGAAATACACTTAAAAGAAATAATACACATCAATAGAATAGTAAACTGAATATCAGACAAGCTGAGAAAAGTAATAATGCAGAATTTATGGATTTATAGTTTCCACTGTAGGATAGAAAGATTGGCTGAATCTATTTCGCATTTGCATTAGAAGCTCTGGTTGTTTTGAGTGAACTGCACTGAACTTTGTTGTTTGTACTATTTGGTACCTGATCTGATTCGAGTAGGTTGTTGATTGATTTTCTGGTGGTTTTTACCAAACTTTTATTCGTTTAAACTAATGACTGTTCGTGAGTACGAAAGCCAAATTCCTAGTTCAACGGCCAATGTAACCAGCTCCACAAGAGCAGTTGCAGTGGCAAATACAGTTAGAGGTGGCCAGCCAAGTTAATTTAATGTTCAGCGAATGGATGCGATCGGTTGTGTGTGAAATATGAGGTGCAGCTTACCAGCACTTTACGTTCTTCGAATCAATTTTCTCATCTGGTTGATCAGTTTAGCTGGTACATCAATTTTCATTTGAAGTTAAAAGTAGCACCCTTTCAACCAAACGGCGATGTCAGCTACGACGCCCACATACTGAACATTCCCAGTGAGAATGGGGAAACAGCCTCCAAGATTGTCAGTGTAAAATGCAATTGAATACGACATAGTCACCTGGCAGTTTACACAATTCAGAGCTAAGGTCTCGAAATCCATGGATGTTTATGTGCCGCTTTTCAATATTCAGTCTTTGCTTAGGGACTCTGTGATATTTTCGGTGTTCTAAATCAGTTAACCTGTCACCTTTGAAAATATAGAACCACTGCTACATCCTCAATTTGTTAGCACCGGTAAAATCACCTATTCCTCCAAAATAGAAGGAATTTAAAACCTAGAAACTACCACTATACTAGAGCTATGTAAGTCACAGAACTTCGTAAAGCACACATATGGGTAGGAAAATCACGAATTAAAAAAATATGGTGAACTCAAATGCATGGAAGAAAGTGTACTTACACAAGGAATAGTAGGAATTTATTCGATCTAAGAGGCCACATGACGTAAATACATCTGCTCATTGGCATAACTGTTCAGCCTTGCCACCAACCGCCTCCACTCACTGGTTCTTACAGTCTCAATAACCATGGACACTCGGCCCACATCTCCCTGACTTCCTAGCTTTAATCAACTGCCAGTGACCTCACAGGATGAGGTCTGGTTTTAGTTTTACGAATCATAATTCCTTTCCAGCCACATTCTAGGTCAGCTTAAGTAGCTCAATGTGGAAGACATTGTCTTGGCCTGTATAACATGAATGTCTTAGCCATCTCAATCCACACACACACAACTTCACAACCACATCAACTGAGTCCTTCTCTCTACTATTTACCTACGCATAATATTACTCACCATATAGCGACGGCTAACACAGGAGATAGATTGTACAGACCTATGGTATTAGGCAGCTAGCCTCTTCAGACACTTTAATTTCAATGGATATGAAGAAGTGTATAGGGTAACCTGTACAAAACGTACGTCTTTTGATCAATAGCTGGATTTAGTTTAATCCCACCAGCTCCAAAATTTCGTCAGCAATAAATCCATATTTTGGTCTGACACAACTTTGAAAACGAAACCATTTCACTCCCTATTCGTTAAGTAGGATTTCGTGAAAACCAGTGCTGTGGCGTTGTCCTGCCTTTTACAGTGGCGAATCACACTCTCTGGTCTCTGCTTAAAGTGTTCAAACGACGATGTATAACTTTCAATGGGTCATTACACGATGGGCTGAAATTTGGATTCACCGTTTGGATTAGATCATTTTCATAACTGCTATTTAGATATCCGTCACTAAAGGTAATTGAGGTCATGGATTTATTCTTTAGTTCCAGTACAGCCTCAACTCTATCAATCAGCAGGTTTGTCCTCCCCTCGAAGCGGAGGAGCATCAGTTACCTCGAAACTGCAGATAAAGGGTGCTAAATAATGCAAATTATCACAAGACGTGGGCCTTTCTCCAACCGGCAGAACACTTTAAGTACTACATTCAAAATTCCGGAATTCGTCATTTTACGTTGCCTATTTATTACACAGAGATAGTTTGCAAACTAGATTTTAATAACTTACACCAATAGTGATACATATCCATCCGAATTACTAGGATGATTGACTCTATATATTCTTCTTTCATGATAAAGTGAATAGCAGTTTTCTTAATCAGTGTCCCATAAAATTATTATTGATCACTATTCATTTGGTTTTCAGGTAGGGTGAAACATTTTAGCTGTACACCTGCATTAAATTCTGTTGTCTGCACTCCACCTCAGCTGGCTCCACAATCTTTCAATTAATCCTCGCTCGATCTACTTCATATCACACACTGGCCCACCAAAGTCTCACTCAACGTCTCCAACTCGGGTTGCGATCAGGAGTATACTGTGTGCATGATGTTAGTCAACTGTTTAGTCAGCTCTTGTCTGATTCATCTTAACCACATTCTACACAATAGTCGGATGAAAGATTTCTGACTGGTCTGTCTGAAGAGTTACTTTATTCCAGTGGTTTCAGGTCGGCCTTCGAATCTCCAGTGTCAAGAAAGCCAAGGCGACAGGTAATGAAAGTATATATCCTTTTGTGAAATGCTTTCCATTTAAGGCTCTCCGAGACTCTGAACTCTATACATGCAAGGCATCATCTAGACTATGTTTCATATGCTCAGTTCAGTAGACTTTCACTCTGATTTAGCAGTAACGAAGGTTTGTTTTTGTTTCATCATCTGGTGAGCTCCAGCTTGGCTTTGTCATCCTGATCTATCAGACCAGTAGCTGAACGATGCTGGCCAGTCAAATGACAAAGTCTGCATAATTCTGTTAAATTCCCATTCATGATTCACACCAAGTTTGTTGTGTCATGTGTGTGTGTGTGTGGTATGTAATGTCAAGAGTTCCATAATCCTAAAACATCCTTGGTCATTGAAAGCAGGATTTTAAGAGAATAAATCACTTGAATAATGCATGGGTAGTTAAAGAAAGACAATTCACTTCGGCCGACAAATAGTTCAAATCTAGTGTGTAATAAAACAGGTTTGAGAATAATTCACTAATGAACTCCTCACCAGTGCACAAATCGTAGTCATTTATTTCTCCGTCAGTAGTGAATAGATCAGCTTGAGTGTGAGAAACGAATTCCCTCGTTATGATAAAATCTTATCTTTCCATAGTATCTGCAAGAATTACTT